CCTTCATAGATGCTGCCAGACCTGCTGAGCTTTTCCAGCAACTTCTGTTTTGTTTCCTGATTTACAGCATCAGCAGTTCTTTCGGTTTTTATTCAGGTTTAGAGGGATATGGGCCAGGAGCAGGTGGATGGGTCTGGTTTAGTTTAGGATTATGCTCGGCATGGTTTAGGTGGACCGAAGGGTCTGTTTCTGTGCTATATAATCTGTGACTGAGCTTAGATATTCTCATCTTCAGATGAGCCCTTCAATGGTCAAAACAACCACATCTGGTCTGCAATTTCACATGAAAATTCTTACATTAAGATAATCTATTTCTTAACTGTTCTGAACTAACTCCTCTCTCCCGAAGAAACTGTTCTTATGTATAACTTCAACCAGGACCACGAACTGAATTTAAAAGCTTTCCAATCTATGGGTTTAGCCCCTAATCCAAAAAGAATTCTGATTCTTTCAAACCAAAAGCAAGCTGATGCTTTTAAACGTTTGCTTTCTGATTGTTAATCTCTCTCAGTAAATGAAATTCCCAGGAGCTCCCTCTCTCGCATACTCATTTGAAAATCAAGACTTCAAAAAGACCGACAACAATCATACAGACCAAACCCCACATGCCACTAGTTAAAAATCCAAACTCTAAAATAAATAGTATTAATATTGTATAGATTGTACACCTTATCTCACAATAGAAGGAGATGGTGAACAACTGTGATAAGATGATGGAATTGGTGAAGCTGCTTGCAAGAATTAAACATAGGTAAATGTTGGCTGAGCCAAATGACCCATTTCTTCGCCATGCCCTTGATCTTGTTGCAGTTAGTGGGATCTTGCTGTGTACAGGTTGGGCATTTTCTCAGCTTCAGGCATGTGTTGAGATCATTAAATGCTTGGCAAAGGTGCAGTTTGATTCTGTCATCCTTGCCCTTGTCATCAGCTCCATCTTTTTTTCTGTCCTCCCTCTAGGTGGAGAGCTGGACACGGACCGCGAGACTCTCCGGCGAGCTCTGAGCTGGGGGCTGGCTGCTCTGCTGATTTACCTGATCCTCTTGGCAGTCCTGCGTCTGCTGGCCTACCTGGCGGGCCGCCTGCTCTGGTTGGTCAAGCTGGGCCTCTTCTTCCTGGCCGCTGGCTACGTAGTGGCCACCTGTGATGACGAGAAAAGGAGGAACACCCTGCTCCTGGGCCTGGGCGCTCTCTACCTCCTGCTGGGCCGACTGCCACTCCCATTCGTGGGTAGCTGTTGCACACCCAACCAGCACCAGCACCAGCACCGCCTAGAGAGCAAGGTCACTGCTCTGGAGCACCAGCTGGCCGAGATGGAGCGCAAGGTTCACCAGAGAAAACTCTACGACTATGACTACGACTAGGAAGGGAAGGGGCATCTTTCAGAACTGAGCGGGAAAAGACCAGCCTAAACACACTCAGGTGAGCCTTGGCACCAGGGCTGGACGCTTGTCGTATCCTTCCCTGCAAAGTTCTGTTCACAAAATGAAAACCCCTCCAAGGACAAGTGAGGGGAAAACAAAACACTGGGAGCATTCTTCTCCCAGTAACTCTCAGGTATCACCCCAGATCCAGGCTGCTGTGACCAACTGTTACCACAGGAGAAAGTTTTAATGTCCTGTGGGATCGAGGAGAGATGTGTCACCGATGATTTTTTTTGTCCCGCGTAAGAATGCCAAATTTCAGATGTTTGCAGCAAGGGAGAGAAACTGGCAAGTTGACATTGATTGGACAAAGTGTCGAATTACAAGTAAATTGGCTACCCATTGCCTGATGAATCTCACCGTCTTATCCACCCTTCCCTTACTGCTTACAAAGTAGCGCAAACACAACTCACATTGAGTCCCAGTATCTCGCCTGTCAAAGTGTTACAATCCCTTCCATAGTCCCTGGTTTCAAAAGCAATCCTTTTTCATTTTAGATCAATGTTTTAAAATACTGAAAAATAAAAGGATATTGTCTATATATGCCTCCACCTTTGTATAAGATGAAATTTCAAAAACGTATTTCATCACATGATATTTGACAAACAGTGAAACATGAGACTTACAGCATTGATTCTTCTCCCGGGCGCGCGCACTCTCACACACATACACTGTCTCTCACACACGTGCACGCACACGCACACCCACTCTCTCATGCACATGCACTCACACACACACACACTCTCTCTCTCACCTGCACACATGTGGCACACTCATTCACGCGTGCACATGCACTCACACGCATGCATATACGCACACATGCAAATCTGGCACAATGTTTCAACGTTTCTTAAATCTTGAAAATTATTCCATCATTTTACACAATGCATCTCACTCACATTGCTGGAAAAGAGAATATGAATGATCTTTTACATTAAATGGTTGAACCAACAGACTCCATCTGAATAGTCTTGCATTTTAAGCTTTTCAATAAATGCTAGTGGATTAGGTGCATGTGGATTAATCATTCTTTGTATTGGACACAAGCCTTAAATTGTTTTGAAGAGGCAACAGTAATCCAAAGTTTCTCTTTCTTCTTCACAAAGTATTTCCTCTCATAGTGGTTTAATTTCTTTGAAAAGTACCCCACTGGTTTCTCCATTCCTGATCTGTTGTCCTATGAAAGGACTCCACCTATCCTTAAGTCACCAGCTCCAATAACCATTTAAAGTAGATGGGAAAACTCATTGGTAGCTGCTTATCAGCATTGCATTAAGGTTCTCAAAGACTGCCTGACATCCTGCAGACTGGGACCTCAGCAAGTTATTCTTGCTTTCACAAATTCACTTCTGACTGAATTTATTGTTAAGCTAGCTAAAGAATTGCTTAAATAGGTCTTCTTGTCTCACATGTTCTTTCCATGTTTCACTATATATTGGAACTTCAACTAAATAGACCACACCTTCATGTAATTCACTTCCAACTCTCTGCATCAATGCATCTCATTGTACTTTCTGCATCAAAGCATTTTAATGCACTCTTCATCAATGTGTCTTAAATCTCAAGGTTGCAAGGATAAGCCTAAAAAGCAACGGCAGAGCCAGCTTCATATCAGTGGTGGACAATCTTCTCGAGACGATTATCCAGGATGGAATTAGTAGTGACGTGGAAAATGCCGGCTTGTTTAGGAAAATCCAGTAGGGATTTCTAACGATGAAATTGTGCGTGTCTAACTTGCTGGTGTTTTTTGCAGGGGTGATAGGCTCAGTGTTTTTGATGAGGGTTGGTTACCTTATTTGGCTTGGCGGTCAGCTTGTGATTTTAAACAGTGTGGGCTCGATTCCCACATCAACTGAGGTGACTGTGAAGGTCCCATCTCATTGGCCTTGTCTCTCACCTTGGGTGTGGTGACCCTTCGGTGGAGCTCACCACCAATTCTGGCTCTCTATGAAGACAGCATCCGTGTGGTCCTGCGGACTACAGTGACTTTACCTAGATTTCCAGAAGGTGTTTGATACAGTGCGTCACAAATCTATTGTTGTACATCATGGTATAAAATGATGTAAGTAACAGAGAGTAATAGTGTATATGTTTGGGTTGGAGGAATGTTTTTGGTGGCATTCTCCAGGGATCAGTTTTGGGACCCTTTTTTGACGTATGTTAATACCCCTTTGTGTACAGGGTACAATATCAAAGTGTGGTGATGCTTTGAAATTGAGAGGAGGACAGTGTAGAACAGATGGTGGACGGGATGGATAGCTCAACAGTGAACTTCAGAGAAGGAGGCAATGCATTTTGGTAGGAAGAATATGGACACTTTAATGCGCTGTCTGTTTCGCAGTATCTAAGGGCTGTTGGAGTATCGTAACACTGTCTGGGTCACAGCATCTTAGTGTTCTGTCGGACCATCTTAACTATGTCTGCACGAGAGGCGTAGAGCATCTTAACACTCTGCGGCAGAGCCTTGTAATGCTGTATCTGTGTTGGAGTGTCATAACACTCCGTCTGTGTCAGAACGTCAACACTGTGTACTGCAGCATCGTAACACTGTGTCAGTGCATCTTAACAATGTGTTGGAGTGTCTTAACACTGTGTAGGAGCGTCATAACACGGTCAGTGCATCGTAACACTCTTGCATCGGTGCGTGTTAATACTGTATTGGAGTGTCTTAGCATTCTGTGTCGGAGCATCTCGACACTGTGTCAAAGCAGGTCCACACTCTGCGTTGGAGCATCTTAAGACTGTGTCAGAGCGTCCCAACACTCTGCCTGCATCGAAGTGTCAGAAAGCTCTGTGTTGGAGCTTTATATAACATTCTGTCTGTGTTGGAGCATCGTAACACTATCTGTGTTGGTGGTCTAGACACTCTGTACCCGAAATTCTTAATACTTGGCATCGGAACGTCATAAAACTCTGCATCAGAGTGTCTTAATGCTGTATCGAAGCCTCTTAAGACTGAATTGGAGTGTATTACCACTCAGTCCAAGTGTGGTAACACTCTGCATCAGCACATCTTCTAAAATTGCGTCAGACTATTTTAACACTATCAGTGTCAGAGCATCTTAGCACAGCGTTGGAGCGTTGTACTACTGTGTCAAGAGTTTCATACCACTGTGTCAGAGCATCTTGACACTGTCTGGGTAGGAGCAGCTTAATAACTTGTGGTCAGTCTCCTGGCCGTGTGACTCAGGATGCTGACAGTTTATGAAATATTGTCCTGATGCCAGGTCACTTGCTTTCTTGCTCCCACGCCTCATCCTTCACGCCAGTGCGGCCCATTATCAGAGATGTGACAGCCTGTGCCTGTTTTCCGAAACACATCAATCTAGGAACCAGACGTTCGCAGTTAGCCAAAATGGTCACATCTGACGTCAGGCCGTGCCCCAGACATAGGAAGCTTTTGGATGCTGGGTCGAGGATGTGGTGTCAAACACGAACCTTTCACTTTTCCGGGAAACCGGCATTGACGCCGGGCCCCAAACACGTTTGAAGTTTCGAAGGGACTGTTAACGATTTGTTGAATTACGAGAGGCGATGAGGCAGTGGTGGGGGTGCTGGGCATATACAGTGTCGAGACTATAAGTCTGAAAAACCTCATAAATTAGCGACCAGCTGACTTTGCTGACAGATACCACCGCAGCTTTGAACAGAAAGTCTACAAGAAAAGAACCAGCATTCCACCCTGGCCGCAAAACGATTACCCTGCGGTGGATAGGGAGGGCAGAGGGTAGCTGGCATAAATGGAGACAGAAGAGCAAGAGGCTATGGGATGAGGGTCGGGCTGGAGGTGGGGTGATGGGGGGAGGTAGGTAGTGTGTAAGATGAAACAAACAACAGCCCCACTGCCTCGGGACGGGGCTCTGCAACAGCGATGGGAAAGTAAACGCATCAATAGTTTTTCTTTTCAGAATGTGTGTAGAAATCTAGACGAGATGTTTGATGAGACAGAAAGTATGTGTGTCGGAAAGTCATGTCGAGCCGTTTCCTGGCCGTCTGCCGAAAGGGATTTGTGTTTTTTTTTGTGTGTGTAACATTCCCCTTTTCTAACCCGGCAGATCGTGGTTGCTGTATGACCCAAGAAGCCAACCTCTTTCCAGCTCAGACCACATGCCTGGAAGGAATCTACAGGCCCATAACATAAACACATTCCACGCTAGGCAGCTGTTCAACCAGACTTCCTCTATGCTTTCGGACTTTTGAATAGCCAAGGTCCCCAGGGGTGGGGGAGACCAAAACTAGAGGGGCACAGGTTTAAGGTTAGAGGGGAAAAATTTAATAGGGACCTAAGGGGCAACTTTTCCACCCAGAGGGTGGTGTGTGTATGGAATGAGTTGTCAGAGGAAGTGTTGGAGGCTGGTACAATTACAACATTTAAAAGGCATCTGGATGGCTACATGGATAGGAAGAGTTTAAAGGGATATGGGCCAAATGCTGGCACATGGGACGAGGTTAATTTAGGATATCAGGCCGGCATGGACAAGTTGGACCAAAGGGTCTGTTTCTGTGCTGTACAGCTCTATGACTCTATCAAGCCAATTGGTTCTCCTGAGTGATGATAGAACGAAATAGAGAGCACATACAAAACCCATTCAGCCCATTCAACAAATGACCAACCCCCAGTCTCACGCCTTCTATCTCCCAGCTCTCAGCAGGGAAGTCCCGTTATCTCCTTCTCACACCTCAATTTCACAGAGAGGTTTAAACCTCTCTTTCTCACTTGATGTCCGTACTAGGCCTGTAGGCTCCTCCCTCTGCTCTCTGTCAAAAATGGATTAAAACAAAACGTTTCCCAAACGCCTTTCAGTTCCAAAGAAGACTGGGACTTGGGACTCGAACTGGGACTCGAACCATTAACTCTGTTTCTGTCTCCGCAGACGTTGCCAAACCAATTTTAACCAGTGTTAAGGCGCTCAAGGCTATAGGCCCCCAGTGCTGGAAAGTGGGACTGGTGCAAATTTAATGCCGCTTTGGAGGTACAGACTTGGGGCCCCTTCTACACTGCCATGACCTGCTGAGTTTCTCCAGCGCTGTCCCGTGTTTGGCTCTGCAAAGCGATGGGGAGTCTCTGCCTCCATCACCCTTTCAGGCAGTGAGTTCCAGATCCCTCTGGGTGAGGATATTTTTCTCCCAAGTCCCCTCCAGCCTACCTGCTACACGGTCTAAATCTATTCCCGGGAGCCTGGAGCACGCTCTGGGGAATAGGGGCCGGCCATTTTCGGGACTGAGACGAAGAGAAACGTGTTCACTAGGAGGTGGGGAGGGGGGCATTGTGAATCTGTGGAATCTCCTCCACCGATGCTCGCTGGTTGCGTGTGTTCGAGCCGAGAGAATTCTTAGACACTGAGGGAATCCGCAGAGAGCAGACAGGGAAAGTCAAGGTGATGCTCAAGACAGGGACACGCTCACACTGATCCTTGGTGCAGGGTTTGATGGGCTGAATGGCCTTCTCCTGCTCCTGTCTCTCGGGCTCCATTCGCTCGCAGCCAAGCTGTAACTTCCTCGCTACTCACAAGGACTTTGGCTGCTTCAACTGGGGAGA